CAGGCTGAGCTCCACTTTGCTTTCTGCAGCGGGGCTTTCGATTTCGGTATGGCTGCGAAGGCCCTTCGCATGGGGGGCTGCCAGGAGCCTCCAGCGAGAAGGGGCACAAGACCTATCCTACTGTCAAGGTGAGTGCTGTGCTGCCGTGGCCCTGGGAGTGCACATGGGTTGGGATGATGCTTGGAGGAGGGAGTACGTGAGCCAAGGATCTAAGGAGCCCCAGGTCCGACTTTGTGCCTCAGCTCCCTCCTCCCCGCAGATCTGCAACTACGAAGGGATAGCGCGCATCGAGGTGGACCTGGTGACACACAGTGACCCTCCGCGTGTGCATGCGCACAGCCTGGTGGGCAAGCAGTGCACCGAGGCCGGCAACTGCGTCGCCGTCGTGGGGCCCAAAGACATGACGGCACAGTGCGTGTGGGGCGTTTTCTGAGATCTGCGGGAGTGGGGCGGGAGCTGCGCGCGCTCTCTTGCTGCGCACAGAGTTCCCTGTAGGTCCCATAAATGCAACCCCTGTGCTGGCCCAACCGGCTTCCATTTACATCCCCTCCAGCCCTGCAAGTCCCCACTGTGGCTGTTGGGGTCCTCTCTTCTGGGCTCCTCTCTCGCCGTGGCTGTGCACCACTGCCCCCCGTGCCATGCCACTGTCTGCTGCTGCTTGGCTCTGTGCTGACTGTGGGCTCTCCTGGGCAGGTTCAGCAACCTGGGAGTGCTCCACGTCACCAAGAAGAACATGATGGAGATCATGAAGGAGAAGCTGAAGAAGCAGAAGACGCGCAACACAAACGGGTTGCTGACAGGTGAGGGCGGTGTGGGTTGGGGTGGTGGGGCCATACAGCGTGGGGCAGCTGCTGGGCACAGAGTGTCTGACGGTACCCCCCTGCAGAAGCTGAGCTGCGTGAGATCGAGCTGGAGGCCAAGGAGCTGAAGAAGGTGATGGACCTGAGTATCGTGCGGCTGCGCTTCACCGCTTACCTCCGTGACAGCAGTGGAAACTTCACTCTAGCACTGCAGCCAGTCATCTCTGACCCCATCCATGACAGCAGTGAGCATGGGGCTGCTGTGGCAGGGACATGGGGGAGGGGCCACCCTGCATGGGGTTACGGTGCTCTGGGTGTGCTGCTCCCAGCTGGGTGTTAACCGAGCATGTGAGTGGCTCCATTTTGGCCTCCCTGGGCTCCTAGTGCTCTGCGGGGCTCCTGACACTTCCTGGCCCCACAGAGTCCCCTGGTGCTTCCAATCTCAAGATCTCGCGGATGGACAAGACTGCGGGCTCGGTGCGGGGTGGGGACGAGGTCTACCTGCTGTGCGACAAGGTGCAGAAAGGTAAAAGGCTGCAGCTCTCCACACGGGCTGCAGCCAAGCAGACGTGAGCCCCGTGGCTGTGTCCCTGCAGCCAGGCAGCAGGGCAGGCGGTGCCCAGAGTCCCTTTCCTCCCCAGATGACATCGAGGTGCGGTTCTACGAGGACGACGAGAATGGCTGGCAGGCCTTTGGGGACTTCTCCCCCACGGACGTACACAAGCAGGTGCAGGGGGATGGTGCGAGTGGGTGCCTGTGGGGTGGGCAGGCCCATGTCAGGTTGCAGGCCAGAGCAGGGCCCAGCGCTGTCCTCCTGTCCGCAGTACGCCATCGTCTTCCGCACGCCCCCCTACCACAAGCCCAAAATTGACCGTCCTGTCACCGTGTTCCTGCAACTGAAGCGGAAGCGCGGGGGGGATGTCAGCGACTCCAAGCAATTCACCTATTACCCCGTGGTGGAGGGTGAGTGCTGTGGGACGGGGCTCCTGGCCCTATGGCTGGGCTGCTCCCCTGCCCCTCACCCCCCTCCCCGTCTCTCCCTGCAGATAAAGAGGAGGTGGAGCGGAAGCGCAAGAAGGTGCTGCCTCAGTTTCCTCAGCACTTCGGCGGGGGCTCACACATGGGGGGTGCCGGCGGTGCTGGGGGCTTTGGAGCAGGAGGAGGTGAGTGGGAACGTCCCGCACCCTGTGCTGCCAGCCTGGCCTGACCTGGCCCTGACCTGGCCTTTGCTCCACAGGTGGTAACCTCAGCTTCCCTTATTCAGCCGGACTGGGATACAACAACCTCTACTCCTCCAGCCCGCACCCTGTAGGGGGAGGGTACCAGGGTGGCATGCAGATGAAGGCCCCCAACGAGAGTGGGGATGGAGGTGACAGAGAGGTGCCTACAGAAAGCAACTACTGCAGGGAGCTGCAGCGGCATGGTATGAGGGTTCGGGGTGGAGGCTGTACCCAGGGGAGCCAGCGGGGGTGTGGGACCCAGAGCCCTCTGCTGACGTCCTGCCTTGCCCTGCAGCCCACCTGTGCCACCTGTGGCTGCTGGCACGCCGCAACGCCCATGCCCTGCTGGACTACTCAGTTACTGCTGACCCCCGCATGCTGCTGGCTGTGCAGAGACACCTGGTAGCCTCACAAGATGAGAATGGGGACACGTGAGTGCTTGGAGCAGGGAGCAACCAGGGGGGAGACCTGTGGCTGTGGAGCTGATGTGAGGGCTGTCCTCTTCTGCAGGCCCTTGCATCTCGCCATCATCCATGAGCAGACGGCTGTGATCAAGCAGCTAATTGAGGTGGTGGTCAGCATCCCTAGCCAGCAGATCATTAACATCACCAACAATCTGCAGCAGGTATGCGTTCCTGGTCAGCACTGTCACATTGTCACAGAGAAGGGCTGGGGTGGGAGGGAGCCTTGTTCCTGTGTCCAGACCTAGGGCTGCAGCTGCCCCATCCCGATGCCATGCATGAGGAGTCAGGGCTGTGCTGGGACAGGCTTGTTGCTGTGATGATGCCTCTGTCCCACAGACACCGCTGCACCTGGCAGTCATCACCAAGCAGCCGCAGGTGGTGCAGCTCCTGCTGCAAGCCCACGCCAACCCCACCCTGCTGGACCGCTACGGCAACTCCCTGCTGCACCTGGCACTGCAGACAGGTGATGAGGAGATGCTGCGGACGCTGCTGGCCCACCTGGGCTCTGCCACCCCCTACCTGCTGTGCTTGCCCAACTTCCACGGTGAGTGGAGTGGGGAGGGAAGGGGCCACGCTGGAGAAGGGCCCCGGTGCCACAGCAGGGTGCTGAGCTGGTGCCACTGCCACAGGTCTCCTGCCCGTACACCTGGCTGTGAAGGCGAAGAGCCCAGCCTGCTTGGACCTGCTGGTCAGGAAGGGCGCGGATGTGAACGGCGTGGAGAGGCAGGGCGGCAGGACCCCACTGCACCTGGCTGTGGAGATGGAGAACCTCAACATGGCCACGCACCTGGTGAAGAAGGTAGGTAGGAGCTGGTTCCTCTCCACGGGGTGGGGGCGGAGGTGGAGGAAGGGCCCCCTCTTCATGGCCTCACACTTTTTTCTGCAGCTGGGAGCAAATGTGAACAGCCGGACCTTTGCTGGTAACACCCCCCTGCACCTGGCTGCCGGCCTGGGCTCCCCAACCCTCACCAAACTGCTGCTCAAAGCAGGTAAGCTGCAGCCCTGCCCTGCTGCTGGGTGCCTCAAGCAACCCCTGCCCTCGGGGCTCAGCCCAGACCTTCTGACAGGGGCAGATGTGCAGCGTGAGAACGATGAGCCCATCAGCCCCTCCTCGTCAGAGGCCAGCAGCGACATGGATGGCGACCCCGAGGAGCAGGAGCAGGCAATGGAGCTGGGGGAGCCAGCCCCAAGCCCCCATCCCACTCCTGAGGAGGAGCAGGGGGAGACAGGGCCTCGGCAGCGCCGCTGCCACACAGCTCTGGACCTGACCCGGAGCCAGAAGGTGTGTGGAGATGCACAGGTGGGGGCCGTGGGGTGGGGTCTCCAAGAGTTGTGGGGGCAAAGCCAAGCCAGGAGCTCTGCCAGGGCTGGCACCAGCCTGGTGCCCCTCCATGTTGCAGGCCCTGTGGGGTGCTGGGGAGTGTTGACTGGTGCTTGGGGCAGTGCTCACATCCCTTCATGTGCCCTGCAGGTGCGGGACATCTTGCTGCAGGCCTCCCAGCTATTCCCTGATACTGAGCTGCCCACCGCCCCCCGGCCAGGTGAGCAGCCCTGCTGCACGCACAGCAGGGCCGGCAACTCTCTGCCCCCACGGCAACAGGGACAGATGGTGTGTGACAGGGGTACATGTCCCCACAGGGAATGTGCTGTCTCTGGATGGTGATGCGCTTCAGGGGCTGGAGCAGCTGCTGAATCAGGACAGCAGCGGGTCAGACTGGATGGAGCTGGCCAAGAGGCTGGGGCTCTGCAGCCTGGTGGAGACCTACAAGGACACCCCTTCACCCAGCGTCAGCCTGCTGCGCAGCTATGAGGTCGGTGCCAGGCCCTGTCCCTGTGCTGTCCCCTCTGTGTGTCCTCTGCTCACCGTGTTCTCCCTGCAGCTGGCCGGGGGCAGCCTTGGGGGGCTGCTGGAAGCGCTGGACTCCATGGGGCTGCACGGGGCTGTCAGAATGCTGCGCAAACCTGAGCCGCTGGAGAAGCTGCAGAGCACAGGTGTGGGACTGGGGGATGGGAGGGCCCCACTGCCCTCAGCCCTTCCAGCTGATGGCCCTGGGTTTGCCTTGCAGAGGTCAAGGAAGACAGTGCCTATGGGAGCGAGTCGGTGGAGGAGGAGCAGGCGGCCACCCTGAAGCCGAGGCCAGTGCCAGAGGGCGAGCTGCCCCACAGTCAGCAGCAGCAGGTGCACTGAGGGGCCGGGGGGGCCACGCTGCCCCCCACCCTGCCTCTCCCACACAAGTGCCTTCTGGACTGGGGGCTGCACTGCAGCCCGGCTGCCCTGCTGCTGAGGGCTGGGACACAGCGTGCCAAGCCCCACTCTGCTCTTATTTAATGGTCCCGCGCCTGGTGAATAAAAGGGACACAGTTTCCATTAGCCTCAGCCCTCTGTGTCTGCCCCGGCCCCGAGAGACACAGGGAGAGCAGCCAGCCCATGCCCCCACAGCATCACCCCAAGTGCCTGTGCTGTCCCCAGTACCACTTCTGGGCTGCCTTGGGAAAAACCACAATGCACCAAGAACTGAAGAGCAAGTTTTACTTCAGTAACCGACAGAAGAAGCTGTACAAAGGTTTTTCTCCCCCTGAGCCACCTGGGGCAAGGGTGGAATTTTTTTTTTCTTTTTTTTTTCTTTTTTTCTTTTTTTTTTTTTTTGCAATAGACTCAAAAGAGCAGAATAAAAAGTTTGACACATTCGCACAGTGCTGAAACTGGCGAGGTCCCACGCACCAGGAGCAGCGGCAGCCCCCAGCCCTTCTCCAGCCCTAGTGCCTGCCATCTGCCTCCAGTGCTCCTGCGGCTACGTGAGCACCAGTGTTTGCTCCAAGCGTCCTCCCGGCCATGCTCACCCTGTGGGCATGCCTGGGAACCGAGAGCCTGCAGCCAAAGAGCAGGCTCTCCAGCCTCTGCTCCTCCTCCTCTTATTGGAGCGGCACTCAGCTTTGCATCCTCCAAGGCCCTTGTGATGCTTTGGAGAAGTGGCACTGGAAGGAAAGCCCCCTTCTCTCCATCCCCCACTCTATACCCACCTCTGCCCAATGCACATCCAGGCAGGGCCCAGGGCCACGTCCAGACTGCAGAGCTGTGCCCACATTCACAAAGAGCCAGCATGTAGGCAATGCTGCTCAGCTCAGGGCTCTGCAGGAGGGCTGCTGGTGCAGGGTGGGGGCTCACAGCACACCAGTGATGCTCAGCTCACTGTCTGGGGGGGTTCTGCGTCCTCCTTTGAGTCCATGTAAAAACATTTCCCCCCTAGAAGTGCACAGTCTACAGGACATGGCTGAGTTTGGTGCACTGTTTTTCTGTTTGTTGTTTTGTTTGTTTTTAAATAGTTCCCAAAAAGCATCAAAATTAGCCCCCCAAAAAACTCCCTGGTGGTCAGCTCAATCTGGTACTAAAAAGTGCAAAACTGTATCACAAAACCCGTCCAAAAGTTGTAAGAAAGCAAGAGGCATGGGGGCAGTGGGGAGGGGGACCTGGGTTCCCCCAGCCCTTGGAGTTGGGGGCCAGGGATGGCTCCATTCCACATGGCATAAAGGAGCTTGAGGAAAGCAGCTGGCGGCTGCGCTGCAGTTTTACACCAAGGAAAGTAGCCCAGTCAGGGGGTGTCAGTCCCTGCCCCTCCCAGGGGTGGGGAGCTGGAGGGGAGCCTGCAGCCAAGCACAGAACAAGGGGAGCAGGAATGAGTCTGTGGGGTAGCTCCGACCTGCAGCCCCTTGGTCCTGCCCTACATCTGTCTCTGGCCCAGGGGCCACCGGACTGCTGTTGGTGGCTGAGTATGGCTGTCCCCACCGTGACGCGTGCCCCCGGAGGATGGACTCATGCAGGGTCCCAGCAGGTATGTGGCACCCACCCAGCGCCCTTGGGCAGGATCGGAGCTGCAGCGCAGGCGGCTGATGCCCCTGGCTTATGATTTCTGGGGGTGGCCGGGGGGCTGGCGGCTGGCACGCTCTGAGATGTTGCGCTTCACCTTGGTGCCTGTGCTGGAGGGCTCGGCGTTCAGCGAGGGGCTGGAGCGGGATTTTTTCAGGCCATCATCCTCACCGCCTGCTGCATCAAAGAGCGTGGATTCAAACGCCGCCAGGTCCTCAGAGCCAGCCTTCAGCTTGGCCCGCAGCAACATGGCGTAGGTGCCATAGCGGGATTTCTGGGGACAGAGCACAGCACAGAGAGCAGTAGGGTAGCAGGGCACTGCCTCTTCAGCCTGCAGCCCGCAGAGTGCTTCTTGCCCTCCAGCACAGCCTGGAGGTGCAGTGCCTGCTTCCACCAGAGGCACAGCAAGCCACGGCATAGATCGTCCAGCCCCACCCTGGAAGCCCCTTACCCACGCTGGGGAGCTGCACTCCGAGCAAAGCATTGCAGCGGTGCCAGAGGAACCAGATGCAATTTGGCCAAAGAGGTAGGAGAGGTCCCCATGACCTGATGGTGGCCCAGAGCTGGCACAGGATACAAAGGTCTGCCCTGCTCACCTCAAACTCCAGGTACTCCTCCTTCTGCTTCAGCTCCTCGTACTCCTTGCCCTTCACCTTCTTATCCGGCAGAGAGGAGCGGTGCTCCAGTAGCTCTGCTGACATCGTCTTGAACTTGGACTCGTGGCTCTTTACTTGCTCATCCTGGGGACAGGTGACACTGTCAGCACCCCACTGCCCTCACTCCAATGCTGGCATGGTTCTCCCCTCCTGGCTACAGCAGGAGCTCAGCTGCCGCTCCCAGTCTTCTAAACACTGCTGGCCAAAGCACAGGCCCTTTGGGAAGGTCTCCTGCTCTTGGTGGGCTGGCTGCAGTCTTAGAGAGAAATTAATCCCCTCTAAAAACTAGGCTGTTTTTTTTAAATCCTTTCTGCTCTATGAATAACTGCAGTGGCACTAGCGAGAGCCAGCTAATCCCCTACCCGGGCTCCTGTCAAGGTCCTGCTGTGACGCAGGTCCCCCTCATGGGTGTGGGTAGGTGGCCACATGTGCCTCCATGCCCTGGCACCGCCTCTCACCCTGTACCTCTCTCAGCACATCCCCTCGCTCCCGGCCCACCTGGGACAGCCGGGTGCAGGAGCTGGGGAGCAGCGGGCGGCTGAACTTCTTCTGGGAACCGATGGCAGCGGGAAAGGGGGGTGCAGAGAACATGGCTGCCACCACGTTGATGCGTGTGATCCACGAGTGCATCTGCTCGGAGTTCCTGGGGAGAAAGGCCAAGCGTGGCACTGCATGCTCTCCCCACCAGTCTTGGCACACCAAGGCCCTGCTCTGCAGAGCCACCCAGTGCTCACAGCTGGCCCCAGCTCTGCTCCAGCAGTGCATGGCCTCAGGCCCACTGGTGCAGAGAGGAGAGGAGCTGGGCAATGCCTAGGAACAGCGTCAGCTCCTCTCCCTTCTAGAAAGGGCCAGGATGTGGAATTTAGCTCATCCCACTCGCTACCACCAGCAATGAACATAGCTCACCCCGCCAAGCCCCACTGTGGGACTCACTGTGCTTGGAAGAGAAAGACCCTCCAGTCGGCTGTCCTGAGGTAGAAGACGTTGGGCCTCTTGCTGTAGTCTGATGCCCGTGTGGCAAGCGAGTGGTGGATGCTAATGGCGTTCTTCAGCTCCTCTTCTGCCAGCGCCTTCCCTGGCTTGTATTCCTCCTGCAGGGCACTGGGTGCTTCAGAGCCGGCCAAGGGCTGCTCCCACCACAACCCAGCACCACTGTGGAGGCTGGCCTCCAGCTGAGCGCCGGGGGCAGGGCCCCAGCCCGCACCCCAGGTGACCACAGCGCTCCTCACCTTCTGCAGGTAGAGAATCATCCCTTTCAGGATGGCGTGGAAAGGCTTCCAGCCGCGCTTCCCTCGGGGGGCTGCGGGAGAGGAGAGCAGCCCATGGATCACCCTGCCATGAACCATGCCAAGCTACACGTCACCCCACCCTGGGGAAGTGCAGCACGCCTGCACCGTCCCCGTGCACCTGAGCCCACGCTGGGCACGTGGCTGGCAGATGGGGCTGCAGGGGGGGCTACGTGCCTGGGGATGGGGACAGAATGCTGCCACACGCCAGGTAATGCTGGCAGCGCCTGATCGGATCAAGGTGGCATTAGGCAGCCGGGGCTTAGGGAGGATTTTGCAGTGGAAATGGAGAACGTGCCTGGCAGCGCAGAACCTGCAGCATGCTTGCAGCACTGTGGGATGCCTCGGCACGCACCCCCAGCTCTCCCAGCACTGCAGGTAGGGAGAGACCTTCAGCCCCCAGCCTGGGAGTAAATCGCCCACTGCAGCCTGATGCACGTGGAGGAGAGCTGATGCTGCAGGCAGGCTTGATGCTATGTGCAGACCACAAAGGGTGACCCCTGCCCTTCTCCCACTCTCAGGGTTCCTGCAGCTCTCCAGTGCCCCCCTCCCTAGACACCTACTTTTCTTGCAGTCGGGATCAGCATGGATCTTGCGCACTAACAGTCCGTGCTTGTAGGTGGCGATGCTGGAGTCCTGGGAGAAGTCCAGGAAAGGGTTACTGCAGCTGCTGATGCGTTTGATGGACTTAGGTTTGGGATCAGCCAGCTCTGAAAGGGACTTCCTCAGCTCCTCCTCGTCTCTGCCAGGTACAGATTTGGTTAGGACAAGGATATAGAGCGTCTATGACCTTGCCGGGGACAGCAAACATCAAGCCTCCCAGGCCAGGCCGAGCAGTTTGCTGTCACTGAAGAGGATCCCACAGCCCAGCCCAGCCTTTGTGCCCTTGCCCGCTGAGACTGGCAGTTGTGCTGCTGCCGGGATGAGCCACAGGGGCTCTGTCACTGCTCCTGTCTGGGGGCACCTGTCCTCAGGAGTGAGCAGTCTTTGTGGACATCTGCTGGACTGGCTGATGAGCAGTGCTTCACACCTCTCAGCACACCGCGCTCACACCCTCCTTGCCAACGATATCCCCTGCCCTCCGGGCTGCATTGCTTCCCTCCCCCGCCCCAGCACGGAGCTATGGGAGCCCGGAGCTGCGGCCTCCCCCCTCCCTCGTAACCGTTCGCTGCTAATTAAACCCCTCAGCATCTGCCGGCGTCTCCATGGCAGCAGCCCGAGCGCATTGGCTCAGCGCTGGTGGAATCGCCGGGCTGATTAATCCCCGCAGCGCGGGCGCTGCCGCTCCTGCTGCTGGAGATGGCAGCTGTAGGCGAAGGTGCGGGCACCCAGGCACCGCTGCCTGGGCGCTCAGCAGGGCTCGGCACAGCCACGGCTGCGGGAGCTGCTCTTGGGACCCCATCGTGGTGCCGTGCTGGGGCAGAGGGCTGGCACCCACTGCAGCTCCCTGGGCACCTCCATCCCTACCCCCCAACACAGGCCCTGGGCAGCAGGATGCTCCGGGGCCAGGGTGAATAGGGCTGCCATGTCGTCAGGGTGACCCCAGCACGTGCCAGGCCTACGCAGCCAGTCCCCCCATGGGATGCTTACATGGCCCACTGCAGCTTCTCGTTCTTGATGGAGCCATACAGTGCCTGTGGAGAGAGGAGCGGGGTTTGAGTCAGGGGAGCTGCTCTGGGGACGGAGGAGCAACTGGAGGTAAAGGCAATGCTGGGGCAGCCCATCCTGCACACAGCCCTTCCTTTCTGGCACTGGTGCTGACAGCCAGGCCCCCTTTCTGCACATACTAAGGCTTACAGATGATGTCTGAGCACCACAGGACTCCCAGCCAGGGCATAGTCAGGGCTCCGTGCTGGGGCACGGCCCGGGCTGTCACCCCTGCACTTCCCTCCTCCTGTGTCTGCCCAGGGCAGTGGCAGAGAGTGAGCAGCATGAGTTTTGCCAAACACATCCAGGCTGTCAAAGAGCTGCGGCCACAGGGTAAACTGGGCTGGCCAAATGGAGAGCTTTCAGGCCCAGGACAGAGAACCTTTGGATTGGGGCAGCTCTGCAGGACATCAGCCTTTGCTAGGGCCTGCAGAACTCCTGCATCCCTACAGCAGGCAGCAGCCACCCAACTCTGTTTGTCCTCTTGCACTTGTGGGCACCCACAGACCCTAGGAGCACAGTTACATTTCAGTAACTCAGCAAGATCTGGCATCTGCTCCATGTGGGATCTGCAGCCCCCAGCACAGGAGCGCTGCAGAGATCTGGTGGCTCTCCGAGAAAAGATGAAAAGCACCTACCCCAGGGTGCTGCAGACTGCCCACCCCCTCTTCCCAGGGCCTCCACGCTCTCTGACTCTTGCTGTGTTCAGCAAGGCAGGGCCCGTGCCTGTGTTTCAGCTGTGAAAAAAAAAGTCCATTTGCAGATGGGTCTGGGGCTGCGTTCCCAAGCGCCTGTCCGGTCCCAGCTGGGTGCAAGCCACAAGCGCTCAGCCCAGCCCTATAGCACAAGAGGTTCTGGAGAGTGTTCCCAGCAGTGTTCACTCAGCACTCCAGATCAAGGAACAGGACGGGTCTGGAAGGCATCATCCTCAGAGGAAGATAATTGAGTTGTGCACAGACTGTTCAGGCAGCTGCCAACATCCATCTCTTGGCTGGAGACTGCTGGGGAGAAAGCTTGCTGGTGGCTGATAAAGTACAACTGCAGGCTCACAGGGACCCTGCCAACAGACCCAGCAGCATCTGGGGAAGGCAAATCCATCATCCCGAGATGTGCAGTGGCCAGAGCGGAAGAGGGACTGGGATTATCACGTGTGTTCTGCTCGGGGAAGCACTGGCCCAGCACCAGCTTGTTTTGCAGAAGATGAGAGGACCTCCCTGTATGCAGGCAAAAGGCAGGGTGGCTGATCCTGGGAAGCCAGCAGCCCTCAGGAGAGGCACAGCCCCAGTGCCCCAGAGTGGGCTGTACCCAGCTCTGTTTGTGCTGCCCTGGGAAGAGCAGGGGACAAGCAGCAGATGAAGCAGGCTTCTGAGGAGCAATGTGGGCAATACAGAATTGTCATAGGGAGCAAGATGGAAAGCAGCTGAGAAGGACTAAGAACAACAGAAACAAAAATAATAGAAAAAAGGCACAGAGAAGTGGAGCCAAGCCGGTGAGAACATACTCGGGGAGCAGTTCTGAAAGAGCAATATCTGCACGGTGCTGGTGAGCAGCACAGCGGGGCAGCACTACAAAAACACGGGCTCTGGGACTACATATAGGAACACTTCAAAAGACAACCTGACTGCTGGCTTCAGAAGGCTCCCACAGCCCCACTACAAGCACCAGAAGCATTCCATGAGTCTGATGTGGGCAGGAGCTGTTGAGCAGCCTCAGACACTGGGCCATAGGCTTCCAGTGCTCCTGCACCAGGGAAACACACAACTGTGAGGTGAGCAGAAGACAGCACAGAGCCTGCACTGCAATCCTGCACTGGGACTCTGTTGGGGCTCTGCCTGCTCACCGCCACCCCCAGCAGGCAGCAGCGTCATGCCTGAAGGGGACAAGTCTGGCCCAGCTCTGAGCTGAGGATGCTTTGCACCACACTGCCTGTTGCTGCTCTCTGTTCCCGCTGCTTGTCCATACTAAAGTCCCAGACTCTGTGATGCAGGATCCCTCTGATGGGGCAGAGTGCGCTCTGCAGCCCAGCTCCCCATGGCTGTCAGCACAGACCACAGCACTGCGGCTTATCACTGCAGGTCCCTCTCTCCTGGCCATCTTTGCTCTATGGGTTCATTTCCAAGGAGGCAGATGATGGCATTTTATGGCATGGCTGAATTTGTGAGCACTGTCCAGGAGAAAGCAGGGGGCTGGTGGGGAACTGGCTGACCCAAAGCAGCTGTCTTTTTGTTGCCATCACAGGGTTATGAGCTCACTGCTGCAGAACGCAGGGTAAGGCAGCAAGCCCTGTTTTAGATATGCACAACACCAGGGAGACCCAGGGATGTACTGCTCCAGTGGGACTGCCAATGGAACCAGCACATCTTCCTTCAGTGACCTCCCAAAAGGGCTGGCAGGATGGCAGGCCCAGGTACTGCTCCAGCATGCGTCTGGAGGTGTGCAGGCTGCACTGGAGCAGTGTCCTTGCACAGGGATAGCTTGGCTGCACAGACAGTCCTCTTCTTCATCCCCCTGTCTCAGAGCAGTGCAGAGCAGGGGAGATTCAGTGCTGGCATGGGAGTAGGGCAGCAGATGGCCCTGGATGCAGTGTTGGGACAAATGGGACTGCACTGAGTGTTGCAGCCCAGCATGTCCCTAACAGAGAAGTGGTGTGACGTTCTGCACAGCAGTGAGATGCTGCGCACAAGGGATCTCACAGCCATAGAGTGCCCTCTCGCAGGCACTCTGCCTCTCTTGGGCATTTCACTACGAGAGCTCAATCGTGGCTTTCCCCAACTTTTCCTTAGCGAAGTTCCTTTCCCTACACCCAACTTCAACGCTGTGCTGGGTGCTCCGGGCACACAGATGCCTCGGCTGTCCCAGTACACACAGCACGGTCACATGGGCACGTATGGCTGTGCTGCACCAGGTCCTCATCATCCCGCCGTCTGCCCCGCGGGCACAGACTACGCTCAGCAGCACGGCCACCTGCGGCACCCTGTGCCCCCGCCCCTCTCGATCCCTCGCACCAAGGAGCATCTCCCCTCCTGCCGCGGTTTCCATCCGAGTGCGTCACAACCCCGTGCTGCTCCCAGACCGCCGCGATGGCCGGCTCCGCTCCTGCCCGGCACGGCGGTGCGCGCCCAGCTCCAACCCTGCCACTTCTCCCCACCGAGCACGGCGGCACACCGGCCCGACTCCCCGAAGCCGACGCCAACTGACGGCGAGCGCGCTCCCAGCAGCCAGCAGCCCATTTTTCCCGACCGGAGCCCCTCCTTCTCCCCTGCTCTCGGCTCAGAACGGGACCGCAGCGCCGCAGCCCGCAACGCCCGGCACCGCGCACCGCGCCGCTTGGTCGGGCGGGAGGGCAGCCCCCAGCGGCTCTGCCCCCGATCCTCCCCGCACGACGTTTCCGACCCCGCCGCCGCGCAATGTCCCGCCGCAATGTCACGCAGCCCGGGGGCTGCGGGCACCGGGCACGGCCCCGCCGCAGCGCAGCGCTTGGAGAGCCGCGCCGCGCCGCTCCCGTCCACGCTCGTGCTGCCGCGGAGCCCGGCGCCGCGCAGCCCGCCCGGCGCTTACCGGCTTCTTCTTGCGGCGGCTCTGGAGCCGGCTGACGACCAGGTCGGTGTACAGCACCGGTTTCAGGGTGCGGGAGCGCTGGGGCCAGCCGTAGCAGAAGGTCTCCACGCCGCGATAGTTGCGCCCGTAGCGCACGGAGCACATGGAGCGGGACCGCATGCGGCCCGCGCTGCTGTTGATGCTGTTGACGCCGATCATGGTGCCGGTGCCGGCGGCGGCGGGGGCGGCCCGGCCCTGCCCTGTCCTGCCCTGCCCCGCCCGGCCCCCTGCACCCGCGGCCCGCTCCCCGCCGCCGCCGCCGCCGCCTGTTGAAGCCGGGCCGGGCCGGGCAGGGCTCGGCGGCTGCTGCCCGCGGGAGGCGGCTCCCCGCCCCGCCCCGCTCGTCGCAGCCAATGGCGGCCCCGCGGCGAGGAACGGGGAGCGGGGAGCGGGGCCCGGCCGAGCCCAGCCGAGCCCAGCCGGGCGCGGGGCTGTGCCGGGGGGCGGGCCCGCGTTGCACGGCTCAAAATGGAGGCGGCCAGCCCCGAGGGGCAGCAGCGGGGGTAGCGGATGCTACGAGTGGTTCTGCTGCTGGACGCCCCGGGATGCCGGCACGCTGCTCTCGGGGCGCGACGGTATGGAGCCGTGCGTCCGGACGCCCGCACAGGTACCACGGAGCTTACCGGGGTGTGAGGCGGGCGGGGAGGTTGCCTGCGGATCAGGCAGCTGGGCTGCGCTTGTTGGGGCGCACCGAGCTTGTCCCTGGTGACGCTGAGCTGGGGTGCTCCCGCCCGCTCCCTCCCATCCTCAGGTGCGCGTCCTACACTTAACCTCTCTGTCCGGTCCTCCGAGCGCAGTCAGAGCTGCCCTGCAGGCAAGGCGCTGCCGCTCCGTGCAGGACCGAAGGGCCGATCATCCTTGGAGCTGATGAGGATCGATGCGCAACCCGCCTAGGCGTGACTGAGGAGGAGATGCGGCCAGAGGAGAAGGGGAAATTTTCCACTGTCGTCACTGCATGGCACGGTGACTGCCGTGCCAAACCTGCAGGGCAGAGCAGGCTGCTCTGGGATGGGAGCAGGGCAGTGAATCCTCAGGTCAGTGGGCTGTAGAGTGCTACCGGGAGAGTCAGGCTGAGAAAGTCCAGCTGTGTTCCCAGTTCTGAGGTGGGAGCCAGCCCTGCTTCCCACATCTGCTCCTCATTCACCCAGCATGCAGACGATCTGAGCACTGTGCCCCTCAGCTGGGAGCAGGGCCCCTTCTGCCCCCTTCCCATGGGGCTGCCTGCATGCTGGGGTTTAATTCATTAACAGCTGTGAAGTGCTCTGGGTTCCTAAGCTGGAAAGTAGCACAGATAGGGCTGACTGCTAAGCAGTGCTGGGGAGGAGGGGGCCTGAACTGCTTTTGTGTCTGAAGGTTCAGCAAAGCACAGGATTAAGCTGTGGAACAAAGATACAGAAGATCTAAGGCTCCCCAAACTGATCAGCTGTGTAAAAGTCAAATCCACGCCTGAGATGCACAGCCAACAGTTGTGAATGAAGACCTGGGGACGGGGCTGAAATCACACCTACAAGAGGATGGCTGGGTCCCAGGGCTAAGCCACTTGCTTAGGACACCAGTTTGCCTCTTTCCATGCTGGCTGGGCACCTGTGCTCCTTTGGCTGCTGCAGTCCAAGCCCAGCCTGCAGGCATAGGCATCCCCAAGCATGGCACTGTGAGCTCCCACATCCCCAGGTGGTGAGGACACCCAGGCAGGCTGGGCTCTGTCTGTGGAGCGTAGCTGCAGAGGTTGTCAGGGAGATGGTTTCCAGCAGCTGTGTTTGCCCAGCAGGACAGCGTCACTGCCTTAGCTCAGCAGCAGGGGCACAGTGAGGCATTCTGGTGAGGGGGATGTGGTGCACAGCTATGAAAGCACAAGCTTTAAGTGTTTTGGTTTCTTTTGCAGGAAACTCTTGAGTGTTTACATGCATTATCTTGTAGCAGATAAAGTTTGTGTCTGACTCAAGCTGCCACCTGCTCTCAGGCATCCTGCTGCCTTTCTCTTGGGATTTCTGCAGTCAAAGAGGGAGAAAATGTAGTCCCCCATTGATGTCCCTTCCTGGTGCTGCCCATAGAGTCAGAGGGCCATTGCTGCTCAATGCTGCCCACCTGTCCCCAACCTTCTTCCAGCTGTGGGTGATAGTCATCCCTGCTCCCTGGTGTATTAGCACCTGCCCTGGGCAGGCTTGGGAAGAGCCCCAAGACCTTTTTTCTGTGCTACTGGAGCTGCCCATGAGCTGCCCCTGGGCTCTGATAAGCCCCTCTGAAGCCTGCTAGTCCTTCCCTTCCCCTGCTGTGCTTAGAAAATGCATGTACTCCTGCAGCACTAAAATTAGCTGGCCAGCTGTGCATGCAGAGAAGCTTCAGTTCCCAGGTGGGGGACCCAGGTTTGTAGAGGAGGCAACATCCTATGTAGGTTAATGGGACTAGTGCTGGCTACCGCAGGGAGAAAATACACTTTCCTCATTTCTCTGCTGCCCAACCCTGCAACAGGAGTAAGGAGCCAAAGCCTACCGTGGGCAGAGAGAGCATATTCTCCTAGTGAGCCTGGCAAAAGCTGCCCAGGAGTGGCCTGGCCCCTCTGCCTTTTATGTGCCAGCTCCCTGCCCAGCATTTTGCATATTCCCGTTGCCCCAAGTCCCTGTGCGTGGCCAGGGCTCCCGAGGGAGTGATGGAGAAGCTGCAGCCTGCCCCTGACGCACCACCTTGGAGGTGCCTTTTGCTCCCACTCCTCAGCATGGCACTGATACAGAGGCGTCTGAAAAGCGGCTGTGGGAAGCTCCACAGCTGCAGAGGGAACAGTCCATTTTTAGCAGCTCAGCCTCCCTGCTGCAGGCAGAGATGTGCAGGGAGGTGCTCCCACATCATCAGGTGCAGCACCGCAGGCCCTGGCCCCACAGTGCTTGCCTGCAGCAGGTGAAGAGCTTGACCCTACCTACCAACAGCAGACTGCTGCAGCACGTGCTTACTGCCCTATCTCACACAGGCTGAGATCTGATGAGATAATGCAATCGTGCCTGCTTGGGCACCTTTTGGGGTGGAAGCTGAGCTGCGGCAACTGCACTGAGGGTATCCAGCTGTAAGGTGCTGAGAGTTTCAGGAAGAGCCTGCAGAGGGACCTGTGGGGTTGAGATGCTCCTGAACAATGCAGCACTGGGGGAGGGCAGAGGTTCAGGGTCTTCATTTTGGACATTTCTCTTCTGGCAAATGCCTTTTCTGGAGCTGCGTTTAAAATTAGGGAAGAATTTTTTTCTAGCTTCTTTCACAGGAGAAGCGTGGGCCAGGAGGGAGGACAGCCCTATTGAGCACTGCTGGTAACCCCTTAATGATGGAGTGAGCAGCACAGCTAGGAATAGACCCACAAAGGCTGAAAACAGACCTCAGCTCTTTACCCCATGTTGCCTCTTTCCGTAAGGCACCTCCCACAGGAATGGCGCTGGCACCCTGTGGGAAACCATTTCCCACAGCCCCAGCACTCTCCAACCACAGCGCCTCACAGATACCAATGATTTCTGCCCTGTGGGCCCCATGGGGATGATCCCTATTCCCAAACCACCTCAGCTGCTCCCTGCACCTGGTCCCCAGCACACCCAGATCCCATAGCCTGTGTCAACACCACTTCTTCTGCTCGTGCATCAGCTCAAGGTCAGGCTGTCCCTTCTGTGCTGCAGGACCGCAAGGCAGCCAGCAGCCAGCTCCTCCCCGCAAGCAGCAGCGGGGCTGTGCTGCTCCTGCGTTAGCCAGGGAGGTCAAGAAACAGCCACGAGAAAGAGGGACACCGGGGATGGAAAGCCATCTCCCATGACCAGAGCTGCTGCCTGGAGGCTGAGGCTCCCAGCAATCCTGTGAGGAAGAGGCCGGTCTCCTTCCTCTCTCAGGAAGGGGCCAGCTTGGGCTGCTGGCACCAGCTCCCAGCGGTGGCCAAGCACAGTCACTCTTAGACGTGCTGCCCCTTCCCCTGACCTCAGCACCACAGGGAGAAAGCTGTGGGTCAAGGGAACACTACTAACCCTGCCTTTTCCAGCAGCTTGACAAGCATGAGGATGAACACCTTCAGTGCGTCCCATGGAGCCGTCCATATGATCCCACCCGAATCTCTTGCCCTTATTCCTGTGGCCTGCTGGCTAGAGAGAGGACCAAATTTACCTTGAGCAGCTCCTTGGGGAAATCGGTGCCTCCATTGAGCCCTTCCAAGTTGCCAATGAAGTCAGAACAGGACATTCTTTTTCCGATGTTCTGGGGAAGTCAGGGAAGAAAAACATGAGGTTCATCTTGGGGCAAGGGGACAGCAGCTGGCTGGAACAGCCTGGGGCTTGGGGAGGCTGCGTGAAGGCATGGGAAGTTGCCTTCCATGCTCAGACTGGGGGCCTTAAGCACCTTCCTTTCTCTAAACTGGGTGTGATTGCTTCCAGCACCAGCAAGGTTTGGGGTCTCGCTCCCACTCTCTCTCCCTGTTTGCTTTCCTCTTCCTTCCTCACCTCCCTCTGTACCTTCCAACTCAGTGTATCTCCTTCAAAGCCCTGTTCTCTTCTCCACCATTTCCCTCTCTCATTCAGTCTTTCTCCTCCCTCATCCCCAGACGTGCTGGGGCTGCTCAGCCCCACAGGTCTCACATCTTCAGCACACGCAGCTCTGTCTGGGGCACCTGCAGGTGGGGCAGAAAGGGCAGGGGACACACGGGGCAGGAGGCAGGGTGAACTTACGTGTCCATGCAGATCTGTGTTCAGCAACATCAGGGCACAGGTCAGGGTGTGGGCTCCGTCTGCAGCACAAGCACAGGGCAGGAATTAGAGCCCCTGGGCACAGATGGAAGTTCTGAGCCCAAGGCAGTCCTAAGCCCACTCCTCCCAGCTAAGCAAGTGGCACACAGCATCAGCATGGTGCTAGCAGCACCCAGGTGAGGAGAGAGGAGGCCGCTGGATTAAAGCTGGTGCCCAGATTGAGTGTGCAGCCCTGCAGCCCCTCAGCCAGGCAGTGATGCTGCAGCTAACTGTCCAGCCCCTAGCATGGGCACAGTGGAGCAACACAGCCTTCTTCCAGCCAGCCAGCCAAAACCTCACCTGCCCAGAGCCAAGACAGAGCAGACTCAGCACATGAACACACACAGGGGGAGCGCAAAGACGTATAACACTGAAGTGAAACAGTGCAGGCTGGGTGCTCCTCTGTGCTGCCCTGGGTGCTGGGCAGCAGCACTTTCTCACCTGGCTCTTCCCTGAGCCGTGGGTCTGAGCTGGGCTCTGTGTGCTCAGGAGGGCCTTCTCTCGCCTTGTGTGCTAATCTGCTCAAGGTCAGAATTAAGGATGTGTTGAGCCCTAGTTATGCATCTTCCAACTGGAGCAGGTTTGTTATTTTTTTTTTTATTAAAAAGAAGTCTAAAATGTCTGTCATTTGAGGGAAATGTGTAACAGGGCTGACTCCTAAGGCATCAGTTCACTCTCTCAGACTGCATTCTACTTTCATTTTGAGCACTCCCATTGAGCTGATGAGAACATGTGCTCTCTTGAACGAACACGCGTACTCCCACATGCACACTCACATGCACACAGAGCTTCTTACCCTCAGAGGAGATGGCATTGGGATTGCACTCATAATAGCGCTGGGAAAAATGAGCCAGCACTCGCTCTCGCTCCTGTGTCTCTCCCATCAGGGCCAGCTCCTTTAGGAAGGACCTGAAGAAGCAGCAGCAGCAGCATTGGTTGCACACGAAGCCCAGCAGCAGTCTCTCTGACCCCCCTGTGCAGCGGCAGAGCTGTGGCTGTCCCCACCCACAGCCCCCACACAAGGCCCTGCATCCAACCCACAGCATCCAGCCCTGATGGCACATCGGGTTCTGGAAATTACATCGGGGGAGGAGGTTAGGTCAGCATGAGTTGGATTTGGACTCAAGGCCCGGAAACCCAGCCTTAGGTGAGCCTGACTGAGGACCTAAGACCAGGGATGATCCTTTGTGCTTATGTGGCTGAGAGACTGCTTTGGGACCCCAGTCTGTGTGGTCTGCCTGCTCCTGCAGATCTCTGTGGGGGTGAGCAGCTGCAGAGGGCATGATCTGCTGGGACTCATTCAGGTGGCCATGATGCATGCACATGGCTGCACTCAGACTGTCTGACCTGAGGGCCTGGTCCAGGCTCATCCCTGTGAACACGAAGAACTTCAGATATTCCCCTGCCACCATCTTGCTGAATTCATTGCTGAAAGAAAAAGGGGGGAGTGAGAGTGGAATCAACCAGGCTGGGAGGACATCAAAATGCAGACAGGGACAGAATGGACTCCGGTGGGCTGGATACCTCCCAGGAGACATAATGGCAGGGCTATGGGAAGCATGCTAGAGACAGAGGAACCCCAGCATCCCATGAAACTCAGAGCAGTCACCCACAGATCCAGTGGGAATATTCAGTATGTCAGCTAGCTGGTTCCCTGTTCTCTGCTGAACACCTTGCTGAAAATGCCTGAGATGCAGTGTGAGTAGGAAGGTGTCAAAACCTGGATGTTGCCTTTAGAGGAACACCTGGTATAGAAAAACTGTCGCAGGGACAGGTCTTTGGGGTCCTGCCAGTGGTTCCTTGACGGCCCAGTGCCCTCAAGGGAAGCAGCTGTGGGTATGCTGGAGTTGTTGCAGGGAGAAATGATGCCGGATGGGCCATTCCTTGTGAATACCCACACGTACTTCTTCCCCAAGTGGCGGGCCACATCTGCTTTTTTAAAGCCATCCAGGTTGTAGAGCCGCTTAGCCAGACGTTTGGCAGCCTCCAGATCAGCCTTGTGCCCATTGGAGAGCGTGTCGGTGCTGCCCAGCGCCAGCTGCTCTATGCTGTCCATCTCCGAGTCCGAGTCAGAAACCAGCTGGCTCAGGGGGTGCTCGCTGCAACGGGAAGGGACACACCACGTTAGTTTGCCCACAGGTCCCCTGCTTGCTCAGCCTCTCAGGGGATGCAGGTCTGCACTCTGCTCTGGGGGCCAGCAGCTCTGCTGGGCCATACTGGTTAGAGGTGCTCAGGGGTCAGGGCTAAGTGCTAAGGGAAGGCTTGGAGATGTGGCTGGAAGAGAGGTAGGTGACGAGACCAAGGCCCTCAAAGCCATGTCCAAACCGGCCATGGTCAGACAGGACAGCTGTCTGAGCTGCAAGACTTCGTGTGTGGGCTCAGGCTCTGCCAAGGCCAGCTGCAGCAAGACGTGGAGCAGAAATGTGCGCACACTGTCCTCTGTATTGGTACGCCTTTTTTAACCCAGGCAAGCTCCTTGTGCTGCTCTCGGGTGCAGTTTCTGCCCCAAACAAGAAGACCATAATTCCTGCACTTGGCTTTTCCCATCCACAAACCTCAAAGCGCTTCACAGAGGGAAGAAGCGAGGCGCAGAGAGCAAAGATGAAGGAGAACCCCCCAGCCTCCGGCACAGCATGGTGTGCTGGGGCTGCTCCTCAGCTCTCAGCCCCGCTGCCTTACATGGCCATGCTGGGAGCGCGCTCTTGGCTGCCTCTAGCACTCTGACTCAGCGGCACACAAATTATCCCAACAAAAAGTAAGCTGAATCTAATCAACAACGAACGTTAAGCAATTCTGACCTCGCCCAAATTTTCTGGCAGACCTCACACTGTTCCAGTCTGATTTATTTTTAAGTCTCTAATTGATTTTTAAGAAGGCCTCCTCTCCTGAGCCAATTACCCAGGCCGATCTCCAGAGGCTCCACTCCTCCCACTAAGGACAAAGCTGTTCCTCACTGCCTTTGGGCTGCAGCTCATGCTGTCCCACAGGAGCCCCGTGCAGCAGGGACAGGCTGCCCCACCCTCAGGGAGCTCTTGGCATCCTAGGGGGATGGGGAAGTGTCTGGGCACAAACCCGTGGCTGGATGTGTCTGTGGCCATCACAGTGCTGGCACCGTGAGTCTCAGGGGAGATGCACAGAACTTGGGCCATTGTGGGGCCTGGTAGCTCCAGGCAGTGGCTGCTGAAACAGAGCTGCTGTGCCCTCAGCCAGGACAGTGCTACCTCTTTTCAGGCGCAAGAAATAAATCCAGTTGCACCTGCAGGTCACGGCTGAGAAAACTCAGTCTGCAATCATGGGAGCACAGCGCTGTCCCAGCCCATCCCAGCAGCTCCAAGGTTGCCTTTCTGGCCACAGACTACAGGCTACAAAACCCAAGCATTCCTTCATCACTGCCTGCAAAGCAAGCAGCTGCCCAGCCACCTTCTGAAGACCTTTTCATTCTTCTCAACCAACATCACTGAAATCTCCCCATATCCTTCTGGGCCTTGATGCCCTCACTGAAGGGCTGTTCTCCCTGCCACAGCTGCTGCATGGCACCTCCTGCAGTGAACCCAGCACTCAGAGACTCTACAACCTCCTTCCAAGCTGCACTCAGCTTTCCCATCCAGTGCTAAGCTCCAGCTGTGGGGTTACCTACAAAACCTCCTTGACCTTCCACATCTCAATCTCACAGCAGGTTCTCAACCCATGGCTGTGGCTCTTTCCTGGCTTCTTAAAACTAGCATGCAGGGATTGCAGTCTGCTTCCTAAAATCACTCTACCTGCAGGATCTGCCATCCCTTCCCTCACCGAGCCCCACTTCTGATTTTGGTCTTTATATCAGCAGTACATGACCTTACTATCAGGACAAGGCAGCTTATGAGCAATGCCAGGCTCCCAGCCATGCCACAAGGTGGGCTTTCTCCCAGTGCTCAAGCACTATCATGATGCTACATGAGGGGGATCCTCCCCATAGCAACAGTGCGGGCAGTTTGGCTGTGCCCCACTGATGGCAGCCTTCTACCCCAATTGGTTGGAGAATGCCCATCCTGCAAGAAGAAAATCAGGAACCCAACCCTCAAGCAAACGGCAAGCAGAGCAAAGAGCATACATCCATGTCTGAGGCAACTGAGGTGACGCTAATTTTCTTGCCAATGACCTAATGTCTCAGGGGATTTTTTTAGTGTACTTTCTAAGTGACATTTCAGTTTGGCTTGAAGAAACACGGAGATAATAATTTTACTTTAGATGTATTTCCAACTCGAGAACCAGTCTGCACTTAAGGAATAATGATCAAATTTGGTATTGTATGAGCATCTCCAGCGTGCCTGGCATGAGTCACCATGGAGCGGGCCCAGGGGGAGCACAGCCCTGCCACCACAACACAGCCACTGGCACCCACAGTGCCCACAGCACAGCCCTGTTCCTGATGGGCGCCCACCTGGTGGGCAGCAAGGGCCCCACAGCTGCTGCCAGGGGCTCAGGGCAGGGTCCAGCAGCAACAAAGTGCTTCAGGAGCAGTTCTGCAATGAAAGAACTGAAGATAGCCCATATGTAGGGCCCACATGCGTCTCTTCTTGGTCCCAAGTACTCCTTAAGAAAACCATTTCTCTTCTGACCCCCAAATATTCCAACTCCAGAGCCTTATTACTCTTTTACCAGTCACAAATACATCTCTGGGCCCAAATTCTCCTTCATCCATGCACCAGCCACGCTTCTCTGAGCCCACACGCTCCTGCCCAGGGCCCTACTCCTTCCCTGCCTTTCTGAGCCCCATACTTCCTTCTCAAGGCCAAACACACATCTCCTGGACCCAAACACTCACTGTCTCACCTAGATATCCCTTCTCTGGCTGAGAGCTTAGAGCACTGCAGGAAGAACTGGAGCACCTTCCTGCACTGCAATGCAGCGTGTGGCTGCAGGACTCCGATTTCCACCTTGCCACAAGGAGCTTGCTCAGCACCATGGAGCAGCAACAAGCTGTCAGCTCAGCAGAGCCTGCCCTAAGGGTGCCCACAGCCTTCACTGACAGGGGGATGTATGTGTGCAGGGGAACACTCACCAGCACCCTGCTCCTCAAGACTACTCAGCCAGATGCCCATTGGATCCAGCCAGGGGCATTCTGTTGAGCCTTCATGTTACCCAGGTCCCGTTGCCACGTGAGACACCTGCTGCAAGCAATTCAGAAATGCCTGCCACAAACCACTTTTCCCCAAAAAGGGCCACGGGAGACCTGGATTAATTCCTGCAGCATGGATGGGGCAGGGAGCTGTGAGGTGCACAGGGCAGCCCTGCACTGCCTCGGTTCCGGTGCCCCACACATGTGGCTCTGTGCCCAGTGCCTCCGCCCAGTACACCCAGCCTGCCCAATATCTCTACTAAGAATGTACCAGCCCGGATCTTCTGCTGAGCTAAATACATGCAGCTCCCTCCACTGCTCTCAGTGGAGTGACTTTGATTTATGACAGCTGAGATCTGGGCTGCTTCATTTCTTGCAAAATTGAAGTTGGGCTGGGAGGACACTTGAAGGTCAGCCAGGCCAGCCTCCAAGCGTGGGCAGAACTGGTGCTGCTGTCCTCGTCCAGCAGCAGTGCCCAGCCGGCTCCCAGATCGCCCAGCAGCCCCGCCAACGTCACCGCGCCCACAGACAGGTAGGACCCAACGTGGGGCACCGCGCTCCTCCTCGGCGCCGTCTCACACAGCTGTTCTGCCACCCCGCAGCACGGCCCTCCTCCCGGCTGCCGCCGGTCCTCGCCCAGCCCCGTGCCACCGCTGCTCGCGGGGACTGGGATGGCCTCAGCGGGGGCCATCCTCTGTCGGACCAATTTCAGGAGGCGGCGGCTCGCAGGGCCGTAGATCCCGTTACTCACCAGGCGGGCGGAGGGGCGGCTTCTCTTTCAGACACGCGGATGCCATGGTGCTACCCGGGGAAGCCCGCGCCTCCGGGACCTCTGGGCGAAGTCCGGCCAGCGGGGCGTGAGCTAGCGCGCCCCGCGGGGCCGCGTCGGAGGCGGTCACAGCCCGAAGCGGGGGGGCGCGTTCCGCGGGGACCCCCCCCGCCGCCCCCGCCCCACCGCTGCCGGGCCCCTTCCCCGCGGGCGCGGCCGCCCGTGCCCCGCCGCAGAGCCCCTCCGCGCTCCCCCGCCCGCCCCGCCCCGCCCGC